TTTGAATTCAAGCTCAAGTCCCTGACCCACGCCCAGCACTTTCGAATGGGGTCTAAGGTTTCTGAAAACCAGTGGAAAAGAATTACGAATTCCCTGCTCCACTCTCCCCTCTCCCTCCAAGAATTAGGAGGGACACTCTCTCAGAACAGCTGACGCGCAGAAGACAAAACAGGTGCCGGAAATCGCCAACACTACGATCTGAAGAGGCCAGGCCCCGGCATTCCGCCAGGCCCAAGCCAAGCAGTGTGGCTCCCATCGTGCCAGCTGGTTTTCGTCCTGGTAGCGATGCAGGGATCAGCCCAGTCCCGGCGTCTGATTCCAGCAACGTTGTTTAGGTGTTTTGATAAGAAGATGTACTTCTTATTCCAATGTAACAGGCATGTATCTGGCTATCAAAAGGAACATTTTAATTTTAAAAAATAACAAAATAGTGAGGCGTGGATGGTTGGCTCTGAAGGTGTCTTCTTGCCCTGTGTCTCACCAGGAAAGTGCACCCACCAGCTCACCTGCAGCCACAGGGTGCACAGCCTCCCCTAGGGCGTGCCCTCAATCCCTGCAGACCGTCCAGGCTGAGCAGAGGCCAGGCTCTCCGGGACGGGGCACGTTACCTGTGACCGTCTGGCTGAGGCTGTTATCTCATGCTCTTGCTGGCCGTGGAGGATGTATTTATAGATCCTACTATTTCTGCCCAGTCATTTGTCAAGAAGGAGAATGAGACCTTTTCTCTTTTTTTGGAGGGGAGGGGCTTGTATTGCAATTAGAAAAAGTGTACCGTGTGGCCGTCAGCGGATGGCGTTAGGGTTAGTGAGCGGACGCTACGTGAGCCCCCGAAGTAAAGCCTTCAGACACGCAGAGCGATCCCAGGTGAGACTGGAATATAGAAGTGTTCAACGTGGAGAAGGAAGGGCTGGTGGGAGTCCCAGTCCTCATAACCCTGGCATTGCTCACAGTGAGCGAAGGGCAGCGTGTCAGCCATCACTTGTCCCCGGCGACGAGATGCCCGCCGCGCAGGTTGGAGAAGGTGCTCGGCTATTGAATGAGACGGATGCTAAGGCTCCTGTAACCCTCAGAGTCTATAATTCACCTTTTATTTTTTTGTCCCATGTGAATGGTGCGGTGGTAGAATTAGAAAGTCACTTCTTGGTCTTGCTGTGCTTCTTGAGTGTTTGAGGGGTTTTTAGAAATTACTCTTTCCTCCTGAAGGCTATGAGAAAGCAGGTGTCTGAGAGGGAAGTAAAAAGTGCTTTGTACCAGCTGGCAGCAATGATCATGTCCCCAAACGCTTCTGACGGTGCTTCCCGGCTGCTAACGTTGTTGACCAGTGGACCCAGGAACCGCTTTGATATTGGTGCTTTCAGGCTGCCAAGGGGAGGTCTTAGGGGAGCAGTCCTGGGTGTGGGGTTTGTCCTCTGCGGCGGGTTAAGTCCCGTCTGGACACATCTCAGCCCGTTGAGGCAGTGAACCCCTGGCTGTAAATCTTGGCATCTTAGACGCTGTTTCCAGGAAGTTCAGTGAAACCCTGGGGAGAAAACCCTGAGCAGCAGTGGGTCTGAAGGATGCTATAAATGGATTTGCCCTCAAGTGTTATGATGCTTAATGGAAATGTGTTCTGCCCTTTTCTTTAATTAACTTTTAATTTCTGTGACACTGAGAAGGAGTGGTAGTGACAGAGCCCCTGCTGTCAGCCTTCTGAAGCATAAAATAGAAGGGACCAGAGCTGGGAGTCCACGCTGAGCCAGGTGGCGGGGCCCTGCCCAGTCCGCCACGTTGAGCCCCGGCCAGTCGTGGGGATGGTCTCCATGACCCGGAAGGCTGCCCGGTGAGGAGGGCGTGAACCCAAACTAGAAAGGAAAGCAGGGCAGGGAGGAAGAGGGGGAGAGGGGAGGGTGGGGGCTTCCAGTGTGTCTGCCGACGGCATCCACGAAACTACACGGAGTTGAAGACGGGAAGGAGTTTCCGGAAGGGTCTGCGGGTGTGGACAGAGAGAAACTGGGAGTCAGGGCCCGGTGAGTGTGTGCAGGGCCCAAGGGGCAACGGCGCCTCCTGCAGGCCCCGCCCTGGGGGCCCGGGGGCCCGTGGGGACTGCACGCTCACCCCTGCCCAAGTCTGCAGGCAGGAGAGCCGTCGGGCGGTGACCTGCCCTACGTGGCCTTCCGCGTGTTCTTGAAGGATGTTTGACTTTGAAGTCTGACGCTTTGCTCCGCGTCTTCTTCCCCAGCGGTGCCTCTCTTGAGCTGTTGTGGAGGAGTTCGCGCTGTCGGTCGCAGGAAACTGAGGCGGCCTGGGCACGCCGCGAGTCTAGCCGGAGAAACCCAAGCGCCAGCTTTATCGTGGGGCAGGAGCTGCCAGTGGGTCTAGCGCGGGCGCGAGGTGCTGCGACCAAGCGGAAATCACTCCCCGCAGTGACTCCCCATCTGTTCGCAGGGACCTGCCTTGCGGCTCCTCCGCAGTGGCCTTCCCTGCGGTGCCCGCGTGCCCGTCCTGCAGCGCCGCGCGGAGGACTTGGCGGGGGCACGGGCAAGTGTGGGCCTGTTGTCTGCACGGGCGTCAGTCTTTCTGACTCTTTCCCAAACTACAGTGAACTTTTCAAAAACACTTCCTTTTTATTTGTCACGCTTTCTTTCGTCTCTCATTGTGGGCAGCAAAGAATGGACTGCGTAGGGCCGCTTCTGAGTTAATATGTTTGCAAAGTGACCCAGGACAAAACATTTCCTTGATCCAGACCTTGGGTGACAAACCATAACCCAGAGCCCGAGCCTGGCTCAACGTGTGTGTTTGAAAATACAGTTTTATGAGGACAAAGTCTTGCTCCATTAAAAAGAAAAAGCCCGTGGGGCCCTTCCAGCTGCAACAGCAGAGCTCAGCAGTGGGGCTGGAGGCAGAGCCCGGCCAACCCCAAGTATCTCCCGCCAAACCCTGCACAGGAATCGTGGGTCAGTGCCGGCTCCGGACTCATCGCTTCTCAGCTGAGTCCTTGCAAACGTTGCCAAGCTGGTCTTGTCTCTGTCTTCCTGATGTGGACTATGTTTGGTAGGGGTCCTCCTAAAGCTTCAGTAGGGCGATGCCACTCCCGCCCCATGGCCCACGCAGTGAGCGCCCAGCTCCCTGCCCTGGGGGCTTCCCCTGGGGCAGCTCTCTCCTGTCCCCCTGCAGCCATGGTCCCCCTCCCTGGCCCGTGCTCCCGCGAGGACTGACTCGTTTGTGTCGCATGCCCCCTCCTTCCTCTTCCGGGTCACCCCCGTGTGCAGCCCCCAGCCCAGGCACGAGCCCGCCAGGGAGATCCCTAGGCGCCGTGCGTCGTGTCTCTGTCCCCGTGGCCCCCGTGTGTGTCTCCGCAGCGGCGTTTGTCACTTGTGACGCAGTTGTACTTTGTCTGCTTCCTTGTTTTACTACCCATAGAGGGTCAGTTCCTGAACCCGGGCCCCTGTGGCTGCTGTGAACCGCAGTTCCTGCCACCGGCCAGAGAAACGCATGTGACGTCTGTCGGCTGACGCCCGCTCCGCCCGCGCCAGGAGTGTGTCTGGGGGACTCTGCCCACCAACCAGGTGCTTCCTACGCAGGTTGCCGTTCGATCGATGGTTCCGTCTTCAGCCCCCGAGCAGCCCTTCTTTGGTCCTGCCGTGTGGGTGTCCCGCTCAGACTGTCACGGGGGCTCCGCGCAGCCTGACCTGGCGGGTGGGGAGGGTCAGGTGCCACGCAACCTGCGGCAGCACCTCTGCCTTTCCCACAGGTGACAGACGTTTGTGTCACACGCGCAGACCTCCCACTGCAACCGAAATAACCGTGCTCAGCGGTTCAGGGACTGAAGTGTTTTTCTGAAGCCATTGTTCATTCTGCAACACAGGGCCTGTTCTGTGCCAAACATACGTGTGTCCCACAGGGACGCGCGCACGGCTGTTTACAGTGGCGCCCGTGCTGTCTCCGAAGCGGTCTTCCTATTGGGGTCTCTGTCAGATTTATTAAAACACCTGTGACAGTCCTGTGGCGTCAGGATCTGGATGGTAGAACTCACTTATTTTGGAAAAAAAGATTTTTCAGTTGCGTTTGAAGCCCATCCGTGATTAAAACACAGTTTAAACTATGAGAAGTGTGAAAGAATAAGGTGGGTCATAAGACAGAGAAGACACAACATTTCTGCGTGAGCAGCTGGAAGCCCCAGCTCCTTCGGCTGGGGGATGTGAGTCGGTGGCGTAACTTTTCTAGCCCTCGGTGTCTCACTCATCACCCAGCGTTTAGCAGGGAGGTAGGTCTCCTGGATCAGCCGAGAGGGCTGAAGGAGAAACGCGAGACGGGCTTGGTTTTAAGCGTGTGTGCGTTTTCATGACGGCCGCCTGTGGCCAGTGGGTGCCTGAGACCCTCGGCTGTGGCCGGGTGGGTGACTGAGACCCTCGGCTGGGTTGGGTGGGAGGGATCTTGTGTATCTGCAGGACCAGGAGTTGCCTAGAGGTGGAAAGCTCTAACAGGCGGGCAAACATTAAGTCCTGGCGCCGTCCTGTACTCGGGTAGAGGTGTTTCTTAGCTCCCGTGTCAGCAGGCTGCCCCGCGGGCTCGGAGGACAGCTGCTGTTGCAGAACCCTCTGCGTAACAGCAAGGTGGAGGCCACTGCCTCCGAGCTCTGGGCCTCACACCAGGTCTGCTCAGCCCTGGAGCTTCCGTGATGCCGCTGGGAAGAAGCAACGCGGCGGTCAGAGCCGTACACTTTGGATTCGCGCCGCCCCATGACAAGGGTTCTACCCCGCCCTTCCTCACAGGTGAGGGAAGTGAGGTCTGGGGACAGTGATGCCCAGAGGCCGGCTGCACACCTGTGTCCTCGGACTAGGAGGGCTTTCTCTCAGCAGCAGATTTCAAGGCCAAAGTCCTGTGGGGCCAGGGACCGAGAGGAGCACAGGGGCCCAGTGCGAACTGGACCGGGGACTCACACCTTCCCCCGGACAAGAGAGGGGCTGTGGGAAGGAGACAGGGCTGTGCGGTTTTTCTCTCTTTTTAATTAATTTTAAAAAATTGGAGTATGGTTGATTGACAGTGTTGTGTTAGTTTCTGGTGCACAGCACAGTGATTCTGTTACACACGTATATGTTCTTTCTCAGATTCTTTTCCCTGATAGGTTATTGCAAGAGACTGAGTGTAGCTCCCTGTGCTGTGCAGCAGGACCTTGTTGTTTGCCTGTTTTGTATACAGTACTTTGTATCGGTTAATCCCAAACTTCTAATTTATCTTTCTCCACCCACCCCTCTCTCCTTTGGTGACCATAGTTTGTTTTCTATGTCTGTGAGTCTCTTTCTGGTTGCAAATAAGTTCATTTGTATAATTTGGAATGTTTCAAGGGAGTCCAGAAATCTGAATGTTTAAGTGCAATGTCCTGATCTTTAAATGTTGGCTGCAACTTCGCATATTTGACCAAGACCCCAAGGGGACAACACAACACGTGTGCTTGCTGGACACAGTCCCCCAGTCCTCACTCCCAGGGCTTCCAGCAGACCCTGGACCTCCCTACTTACTGTCCCTTCTGCTGATGTGTGGTGCCTGCCCCGACCACCACCCCAGTTCCCTCTCTTTTCTCGTCTGTGTCGTCCACTTAGCCGTCCGTTGTCACTGTAAACACCCTCCCTCGAGTCCTCCCAGCCTGTGCCTCCTCCTGGCAGTCAGGACGCTCTGGGATGGAATCCCAGGCGGCTGTTTACAAAGCAGGCGGAAGTAACGGGACCGAGGAGTTTCTGTCCACAAAGCAAGGGGCCCCCTGCTCAGGCAGTCGACGGACGGAAACAGAGTTGGAAATGATTTTGTTTCAATTAGATTTTAATTAGCTTCTGTCTTGGAACCATTGGCTGAGTTGCCAAATAATTGAAAAAGCAACCGTATTTGCATCTGTTGCTCCTAAGAATAGCAATTTTGCAGCATCTGATCCATGGTTTATTCAGAGGAGGAGGAGGAGGAGGGGAGTTTGGTGGCGTGGGTGGGGGAATTTCATATGAAGCAATCAGTGTCCACAGAAGCCAGCTGGGTCGGCAGCGAGACTGGGAGCCGTCCTCTGTAGCCTCGCCCCGACTTCACCTGGAATTAATACGGGACAGTGGTGGCAGGAAGCATTTAATTAGCAGCCTGCACGAGCTTATCACAGAGCTCAGGCCACTCCAGTTCCAGCAGGCCCGGACGTTCGGGAAAGCAGCAGCTGCGGCCAAGTGTGCAGCAATGGGAAGGTCGAGGGGGGCGTCTTGGTGGGGCTCAGGGGGCTGCTGGGTCCTGGAGCTCAGTCCTGAGAGCTTGCAGGCTCCAGATTTGGTGTTTTTAGGGAGGACCATCCTTCTCTGGTCCTCCCCTGCGACCTGCTGCGGAGCTGAGCCGTCACAGGATGGTGAGTGGGGCTCAGACCTGCCCCCTCCTTGGCTTCCCAGGGCCCATTCACGGATTCTGATGGCGGCTTTGCAAGATCTTTTTTTTTCTGACAAAGCAGACAGGGTTTCCACGTCTATGAAGTTGATGAAAACGCTTTCCCCGTGGGAAAATGCAAGTGGACGTCTCTGTGCATCTTCTCTGGAGGACAATGTGGTGTTTGGGGAGCCAAGCAGCTCACACACCCCTTGTTCCCTCCGGAGACGAGTCTTCTGTTCAGGGAGGGTGTCACTGAAGACCTGCCAGTGACATTTTTCTCTGTTTTTATGCGGTTGGTGGTGTCTTTGAGTAAATTCTTAAGGATCCCCTTCCTGTGAAACGAACAACCACATACTGGACTGTACCTCCTTCCCCCACGGCCGCCTTAGAGGACGATGGGCAGGAGATTCTCAGTCCTGGGGCGGAGTCACCCCTTCAGGTGCTCCCCTTGGGAGTGCGGCTTCCTCAGGTCCCCCGCCCGCAGGTCACACAGTTAATGCCTCCGATCTCCGAGGTCCCTCTCGCTCGCTCTGTGTAGGTCTGCGGTGTCTGGATCTTTCGCAGTGGGAATGCGTTCATGTAGTGCCTGCATAATACCAAAATAAATTTCAAAAAGTCTGTTGCCTGAAGATAAATCTAATACAGCAGGTCGTGATTGTGTTAAACGCAATCAGAAATAAGATCACGCCAATAATACTTTCATGAGTCTCGCGCAACACAGTTGCACAACTAGTCCATCATCACGACTGCTACCTCCGTCTCCCGCGCGGCCACTGGACAGGTGGTTCTCCTGTGATCGTAACAGTGCCCTGTAAGTAGGATCTGGCTGCTTGTTCAGGGCAAATGCCAGCAAGCACACATTCTTTTAGAGCTGTTTTCCTTGACCACCCCTGCAGTGCGGTCCCCTCCGTCCCATTAGCTCCATCCTCTTCCCAGACGGCGTTACTGAAAGAGCCACGCGTTCTGTGTGCCTGCTGGACGCCTCACTGCTCCCAGATGTAGCCTCCTGAGGCCGGGACCGTTTCCCCAGTGCTGGGCTCACAGTCGACTTTTAGTAAGTATTTCTTTAGTCACTTGATACCGTATTGGATATTTCTAGCAGCCTCCCGTTGGGCCTGCCTGTTCTAGGCATGGAAGTCCGGGAGCGAGCAGGAGAGACGGGTTCCGGCTCCCACCCGGCGTGCCAGCCGGGAGGGTGGGGCCCGACACGCAGCCAGGTGGACAAAGAAACAAGAATAAACCAGAGGCGCAGCAAAGACCAGCGCGCGTGCTAAGGAGAGAGTGAGACGGGGCCACGGGGCCGCGTCTCTCACTGCGCTTGGGGAGCTGCAGCTTCGCGTGCCAGACTGGGGGCGTCGGGCCCCACGGAAGGCCGAGCCGGGGAGAGGGGCAGAAGGAGGCAGTTGTCGGCACGAAGGCTCGTCGCCTCCGAGGCTCAGAGCTGGACCGTGACCGCGCCGCCCCCTCCCTGGACCGCGCTCTCCGCCCAGCTGCCTCGCGGAGGGCTGATCGGCTCCAGACCTCAGCTCGGAACCATCCCTGTGAAGTCTTCCCTGGTCCCCTCTCTCCAAGGGGACCGACTCCTGGCCTTTGTCGTGGACACCCTGTCCCCGTCACACATTTATAGGAGCGTCTGTCACCCAACCTCTTTTTCTCTCACCTATTCAGGCGTTTTTCTTGATCCTCTGTTGAATAAGCCCCTTGAAGGCGGGTCCTACCACTTCCCCTCCTCTTATGCCTGAAGTTCAGCGCAGACCCCAGCATCAGCTTTGTGATGACTGTTCATTTGATTCGTGGCTGGGCTGGGACATGTAACAATGGATACATGTATAAACGGAGGAATTAGAAAGCTGCTGAAAAGCTTTTTTTTCTTTCCCTTTTTAGGATTTCATGATTCCTATTTTGAAAACGTGGCCTTCTCTGTTTCTCCATCTCACCAATCCTTCCATGACCATTGACTTTATTTTCCGCGGCTCCTTTTGTGTTTGTGTCCATAACGGGTCCACAGCTGTCTTCAAGGGAATTCTAGAAACTCCTCGACTCCACTTGTGCCTCGGACGGCTCTGTAGCGCCCCCTCCCCGCCCCCTCGCGCACGGGCGCACATGCTCTGTCCGGGCCAAGGTCTAGGTTTCCCTTCCCCATTGATTTTCCCGCTAGGGCGGACATAAATTGCAAATCTTATTCGGCCCTGGCATGCACTTTCCTGCTTCCAGCTCTCAGTGGTAAATCTATCTGTCTTTTGATGTCTGTATTAATATAGAGCAAATATTAGCAGATAATGTATTGGTGGCCAAAAGATGAAAGAGGACTCGGGCTAGGGTAATGTTCGTAAAGCTCTTGATTTGAACTGTCATAATCCAGTGGGGCTAAATTTATCCTCAAATAGATGAAGGAACATCAGAGGTTCCCTTAAAAGTTATAATATCTTAATTACTGCCATTAAAACCTCATATGCACACATCACATACGTCTTGAACTGCAGAGTCTCGAAACAGACATGTTATTTCTCAGAGGATCCTGGGGGGACAGAAGTCACGTGGTCCTGCTCCTCCTGCACAAATAATTCCCGGCAGAGAATCTGATGTAGCGGAGCGCTGGTTCTCCCCGCACCGACGAGGCGCGGCGCGGTGCTTCCCTGCGTGTGTCTTCTTTGCTTGGGAGAGGCCCGCATAATGTTTATCTGTGGTCAGACACCGTGGATGCCGGTGCTAAGCCTCCGTCTGCCCAAGGTTCCTGCTAAAATGTGAGCGGTTAGTGTTCTCGCTGCTAATCCTGCACTCTGAAGTACACCCCTCACGGGTCCGGGAGCCGCGTGCGCACGTTAGAGTGGAGTTGCAGACAGCAGGTGCCTTCACCCGTACACTCCCAACCAAAGAGGACAGAGGACATGGGCCAAAAACGCTGGACATGTGCTGTAGACAGTGGACAGTGCATGTTAAATCCACCTGCTTCTTGACGGGGAAAGACAAGGCATAAAGCAGAACGTTTTGAACTTTTTTCAGGACGGGGGCTTTGGTGTGGAAGTGGTGTCCCCGTCAAAGAGGGCGAACGCAGAGACGGAAGAGGTGCAGGCAGGACGGCGGCTTGCGTGGGCAGCAGGGCACTGCGTTGGAGTTGGATGTGGCCACCGGGGGAAGGTGGTGAAAGGTGTGGTCTGCGTGTCTGGGGCTCTTCTGGGCCCGGGGACTGACAAATGAGCGTAACTCACAGCATCTCACAGGGGCAGTGACCTGTCTGGGGACAGAGATATACAAGCTCCCAGCTCGTAGGCAACAAATGCAAATGGCAGGTGCTGTTTGGAATCTACAAAAAGCAAGCTCAGAATAGGAGCGCGTTCCCGAGCCCTGGCGCTGGCTAGGGAGCAGCAGACCCTGCTTCGAGACCACCGGCCTCCGTCCAGGAGCCTGACCGGCAAGCATCAAGCCCTCCCTGTGCGCCTCGGTTCCTTAGGGCCTTAGTTGTCCTGTTCCTGAAGTGGGGACTGGCAACCCCATCTGCAGGGGCGAACCCGGTTGTATCCCTCACGGCTGTGCCTGCCTCCTCTGGTGCGGGCCCCACCCTGCACGGGGAGCCTGCCCACCTGTGGCGTGTTGTCCCGAGTGAGTTCGCCAGGAGAGGCGCGCGCACAGTGCGTGTGGCCTCCCTGCTCCCCGCCTCCGGGGGAGACTCCTCGGTGGCAGTGGGTGTGCTGTCATGCTGGCGTATAAGTCCGTCTTCTGTCAGGTCGGTGGGCATGAGTCAGTCCTTGAGCTGATGGGATTGATGGACGCCCTGGTCCTGG